GATGACGAATCTATTTATATCAACAAACTGAACATCCATTGTTGGTCAAAGGGCAGGCACAGCAGAACAATCAATTTTCCTGATACAGCTCTCGAAGAATGCAGGATGGTTGAAGAACCTACGCTGTGTTCTGTGGGAAAAATATGTTTATCAATTTTATAAAAAAAATTGTTGACTTCAGTCTTTCTGATATTGGTATTGCTTAAGGATAAAAAGTGAATTGAGGTTAAATTTTGATATATTGAATATGAGCAGCGTTAAGCACAACCTCTCATCCCCGTCCCCAACTTCTCGTCCCCAAAGCTGCAGACATGGTCACAATAGGGACAAAATCACGTCCTGTACATCCACTTTTAAGTCCATAGTTGTTAATATATGGGTCACGTTATGGAGCGGGGAAGGGGTCGTGAATTTCACTCCTAAAGATCATAAGAGACATTTTGATGTCAGAAGCGTCTGTCATTTTCTCAACAGTTTTCGAAAAGACATGAATTTGGTGATTAAGAGTAAATTGATGAAAATTCAAGGGAAAAAAATTATTTTAAGGTCAAATTAAATTTTCTGCAAAATTCATTGTTAAAAACTTTTACCACTTCTTTTCACAAACCGTACTTTCATATGGGTTGTTATTATTATGGTTAGCGACATATAGGAACTGAATAATCTGTCATGATTTGGCCTTATAATCACAGCAGCCGTTGACGACCGTATTAGATAACACACTTTATATCAGTTTTTCTCATATGTTTACTGCTTGCTGGATATCCTTCAATGATTTTCACAGAAAACATTCTCAGTCCCTATCATCGCTGTAAAATTTGGTATTTGCCCTTCGGAATACCGTTAACGACTATAGTAAAATGCTTTTCAGATCTTCCATAACATGCAAGCAAAACTGTTCACGGAACCGTTTTATGGCAGACATTTCCCAAACATTCTATAACAGGTAGTTACCGCCCACGGCGAAAAGGCGCTACAACCGGGAAAATGCTTTTGTTCTTTATCTATGCTTTTTTTATTGTGAGCTCTACCACCCTAATTACTTCGTGGCCTGTAAACTCTTAAGTGTACTTTTATAATTCAGGTTAATAGTACATGTACTAAAAAAATGTCTGAAGTTATATTTTAAAGATATTGCCGTCATGCCTTGCTGAAATCTTATATATTTCTTTTCTAAAAGTAAAACTAACAAAGGTATTTTAGGTAGGGCTCGATAAATTAGTTTTTAGGCGAATAACTAGAAGACCATCGTAAACCACTACATAAAAATGCAGGTGGTAAATATTTGTTTGTCGACAATTCATTTCACTTAATGGACATAATTTATACATATCATTCTTCGAGTGGTTTAATAATCTCATGAAGTTAAGAAGTCCAGATTAATATCGTTTTCGTTTGATGATGATTGGTTTTCTGAACAACAGGGGAGGGGCTGTCTTGGGGGAATTGTCCGGGGTGGGGTTATTGTCTAGGACGGGATTTATTGTCCGGGGGTAAATATTCGGGGGAGAGAGACGAATTGTCCTGATACATGTACCCTTCAAAATATATAATCTGTTTCTACAGAGGCGCCTTAAGCATGCCCAAAGTTCAAATTTAAGGACTTTGTCACTACTTACCTCACTGCGGACGATGCTTTTGAGAACAATCAACTTGAGTTTTACCCCTTAGATATGCTGTAGCTGTTACTTTTCTCCGCGAGAAAATGGTTGCTTTACAAAAGATTAAATAACACAAATGCACCGACACAGGAATGCAAATGAAATTGTGCCATGTCCCCACAATATTTATAGATGTGAAGTGCCTTGTGCCAAAAAAGCTGGCGCCGAGCATTATCACAAAGTTATGTAAGCTTAAGGGTTTTACATCGGAGAGACATTTGGTTTGATTTATAGAACGACTTTATTACTATACCCATCAGCAGAATTATATTATGTAACACAATTCAAAACAAGAAGCGTATATCAGACAACGGCTGATGTGTGCTGTAACATCTCAGCAGGGCTGGAGTCATTTGCATGATAAAAGATGAACATTGCTATGTGTTCATATATGCCTTTATAATATGTCTTTATTACTGTCAAACTTTTTTGTAGATTTAAATAATTATTTTCATCGACGTTTCCTGTTTACAGACACATACTAAAACTCCAAAGCTTGACATACACGCAGAATGGCGTGATCAAAGATTTCTTGCTATAAGCAGCAGATGACTTGTAATCTTGACCAGTGTCGATTGTCGGTAAAATTCGGCTACAGCAGTGTATATATAGCAAAGTTCTTAGATCTAACTGATAATGGCAAATACAGAGGATAAGATTGAAAAAAGTGAAAAAAGTGAAAATAGTTCTTAAACGACCAACTACCAAAATAGGCTACGTGTAGATTCAGATGTATTCACGTTGCTGTACCAATGTGGATTCAAAATATACCGGGAAGTCCTTTTGAGAGAGGGTGAGAGTTGGGGAGGGGGGGTTTAAAGCTCTTGGCGGCTAATGTCTTTATTTTATGCCACGGAGATCATTTCTAAACTCCAAAATAGATAAGTGTTACAAGTAATGAACGTTGAGCTTCTCAAAAATAATAATAATAATAAATAAATAAATAAATAAATAAATAAATAAATAAATTAATTAATCAATTAATTAATTAAAAGTTTGTAAAGTCTAAAAATTTGAGGTCAGAGTAATTTGTAAGGCAGTTGATAGCTAAATTTTAATGGCTGCAATTGTCATAATGCACTGCCTATGATCAAACAATTTAGATAGGATATAATTCCTTGATATCATTATGGGATTTTTAAATTTATTAAATTTATTAAATTTTTAAATTTAAATTCTTTTAAGAGCATATTCTGTACGTGTGTTGGTAAGCATATAATATAAGAAACAGTGTTAGCAGTGTCTCTCGCTGTGGTCCACAGATTGATTGCCGTTTTCAGTTGAGAGTATGAGAGAAGAAAATATTAACTTATGGTTTTAAACAAAGTGCCGTCATACATTTAAGCTACTGTTTTCACGTTAACCGGTAAGCCAGTAAAAGAATAAATGTAAGAGATGCACACAGTAACGACGATTGTTATGATGCATACTTTCAAAATAATCTACCAGCCAAATGACTGTACCCAATATAATATTATCTAAACTACAATGAAGCATAATTAAGCGGTAATAAATCCCCATTGCATTATACATATAAGTGCATCTTACATGCAATAAGACACATGCAATATTTAAAAGCATACAAGGTTCATTTAAATAAACCAAATCCAATGCACTCTATGCACAAACAGCAACCTATGTTTCCGTACACGCCATCCAAAATTGTCAACTTCAAACGGGTCTATTGGTACACGCACGCAAACTGCGTCTTATCCGTGTTGAAAGAGTTCTCTGTTCTCAATAATGCGATGTGGACTGCTATTTTCATATAAATATTCAACCTAGATAAAAACGTTGTATCACGACACATAAACACCACAGCTGTTGGTTGGTAAGATATCTTACAGGTGACATAGCTGCTTCTTCCAGGTTTACTAGACTTTTTACACTATGAACTAAAGAAAAAGACAGCGAAGGGGGTGAAAATAACAGGACGTTGAAAACTATGACAATTTTTTTTCACTTTTAAATAAGTGAAATTCCCACGAAGGATTTATCGAACATATGTCGGAGCACATGATGCATTTCACAGTTTAAATATATCACGTAGAAAAGAGACCTTTAGTGCAAGAAAACTCGTTTATAACCAACGAATGAAGCTGCGCATCTGAAATTGAGAAAAATTCCCCTATTGGAGCAAATGCTTTTCTGACACCTACAGGAATCTATCGACAGGCAACGTGATAGTCACTATTTTAATCGACTGTAGAAGAACAATGGAACATATGATAATGTTGTTGAAATGCTGCTTTCGAAATCCCAGAAAACTGATCATCCTCTTGGCAGCGGTCTCCATGGTGATAGGCTTCTCCATTTTGATATTCCACGATGAATTTGATCCACTAGGATCGCAATACGATGGAAAAGTGAAGTTGCCGCTTTGGAACAGTGCGAATACAAACACGAAAGCCGAGGACAGCTACCTGTACCAAAAGCTTGTTCTAAAAAAACCTGTTCTTCCGAAGCGATCCAAATCACCATCTGGAGAGAATATGGGACCTCACCCGAATTACGTGATCAAATCCCCGAAGATAAACTTTGCTCCCATACCTAAGGTAGGATCAAACCATATTCACGACACTTCGTTATTCCATCAGAAAAAAGGTAAACAAAGACCACCACTTCCTCCGCGAGCTCCGGCGCAAAACAAAAAAGTAGGCCTCCCTCCCCTCAAAATCGCACAGCCCACTAAATCCAGCAAGCATGAGATTCCCAAAAAACTATCCACCAATAGAGTCCGCATTAACCCGAAGTTGGCGGCCCGTTTATTAGCAGATAAGAAGAAGAAGGGACGTCTGACATTGGCGCCATATAGGGGTAATTTGAAGAGTGGGCAGAAGCCCGCGGTTTCTAGCACAATTAAGCCCGCAGCACCGAAATTACAGATTCAGAGAATGAAGGTTACTGCAAGTGTGCAAAAAGTCAAAATGTCGAAGGTAACATCTCCTGTGCCAATTATTCCGAATAAAGCAGTTGGCGCGATTGTTGCTAACCCACGCATAGGTGTCACCACAGGTACACCGAAAAAGAATATTCAACAAAAGCAGAGTTTCGTTGTGGCACCTACTTCGAAAACGTTAGGACAAGCATTTACCAAAACCAAAGGAGCACAGAATGTCGCCCAGAAACCAGTGATATCAAATCCTGCAAAGTTGGCTTTAAAACCAAGAGTTATCGGTGGACCACTCAAAGGCAACGTCAATGTTAAATTGATTAGGGGTCAACCAGTTGCGAATATTAAAGGAGCACAGAATGTCGCCCAGAAGTCAGTGATATCAACCTCTACAAAGTCGGGTTTAAATTCAAGAGTTATCGGTAAACCACTCAAAGGCAACGCCAATGTCAAATTGATCAAGGGTCAAGCAATTCAAAATGGTAAAGGGGCACAAAATGTCGCCAAGAAGCCAGTGATATCAACCTCTGCAAAGTCGGGTTTAAAGTCGCATGAAATTGGTCAGCCACTTAAAGGCAACGTTAACGTCAAATTAATTAAAGGTCAAGTAGTTGCAAATGCTAAAGGAGCACAGAATAGTAAAGGGGAAAAGGGAAGTATCCCGCTCGTGGCAAAAGAATCGATCAAAGAGTATCACGTGAAAGGAGAAAAGGGTGTACTGCCGCCTGCTAACTCAAGGAAACAAACGCAAAAGGTGCCTCTCACAGAAGTTGGCAAGAAATCCATGCCCCAAACTAAGAATTTAATTCCAGCACCGTCTAACTTGAAAATGGGAAAGGAAATTACGATACAACCTAAAAATTCTGTGAAACCAATTTCCAACTCCAAGGGAGAGAAGGAAAACAATGCGCCATCTAAAACTGTGGTTCTTCAAACTCCCAATACTAAAGGAGGCAAGGGTAAAGCTGCCTCTGGCAAGACAAACCCTACCATCAGTCAGATCAAAGTGGACATTTCAAAAATAAAAAATCCTAAATTATTGGCACGTTTGATGGCCATTCAAAAGAAGCTTAATAAGATGCAGTAGCACCTGCAGTGCGTGGTGACTAGCAAAGACCCAGTCATCGACTAAATTATTCTATGCACGGACGGCTGTAATACGCTTGGTAACTCATAAAAACGTCATATAAAAGCGCAAGGTGCTTCTTGTTTGTGCCGATGGAATGTTTTTAAAGTAAAATATAATTTTAAATGTGTTAAAATACAGTTTTAAGTAGATTAAGTGTTTTAGTCTAATGTTAAATAATACCTGGTCTAACATATTTCTACACAATTTACTGACTACCGTTGACTAACAGATTGTACTGTAATTAAGGCAACTTGTATTTGTAACCGGTTTTATGGGAACGTCACCATCAACTTTGATGCATGCGGCAGATATTAGTCCGTGATAAATCCCCAGTAGATGGCTCTCGTATCAATTACGTAATAATTGCAGTGAATGAGCCTCATCAACATAAATTATTTTTACTCCAAGACCGCTGTGTATTCTGTAAATAAGGATACAATTCATGTTTATATTTTGTGTATAAAGGCACGATGAATTGTTTTATAAACTGTTTTAATGTTGATTTACGGTAGTAAATTTATACATTGCAGCAGGCTTTGTACCTTAGGTACATGTATTTCCAATATTCTATTTAAAGGGCATGTTTTTAGGATAATGTATATAATTTTCTGAAACAGTATATCAAACCATCTTGTTAGCTAGTGCAAATGTTTTATTTCGCATAACAATTTTAAGAAATATATTTTACATAGTAAAATATAACCATACCAAAAGGCAGCATGGTCTGTTTTCATTTTAGCACGTCTCCCATGTTCCTGTTCTTCAAGTTGCAAAAAAAAAAAAAAACTTTGGTCAGTCTTAGCACCATTTGTTGGCATTTTGGTATTTAAGAAACGGACGCTAGTCCATTCTCTAAGTAGGGTCTTATGATAGACACTGATACAGCTAGGTTTTGGTCGGTTTTATAACCTTATTGTATATAATATCTGCCTGTCTCTCTGGTGCTTTTTCTTACTAGATAATAGTAACCATATACTTAAATTCGTATCATTGCCAGCTGATACGTGAATTCCACGACAAGTACATGTACTTTTCTAACGCACAAAACCCGTTTTCAAGGGTCATCAAAACAGACAATAAGCTAAAATACTTAAATCCTACCTGAACACGTCACGACTTTAATTAAAAATTGTTATCAAAAAAAAAAAAAAAAAAAAGATCGGTTTTGAATTAGACAGAATTTTGCAATGACAAAATAATCCTCTATCCCTCCATCTCCTTTTTAAAAAGTTCTCTAAGGAGGCTGTCCCGTTCCCTTCCTTTTTCTCCGGCTTAAAAGTGACCTGTTCAAATGATAATAATAATAATAATAATAAATGTACAAAATCAAATGTATAAAAAATAACATCCCGTGCCGATACTCGTACAGCTGTGTCAGTATACATTGTAAGATGGTACAGATTTAGAGGTTATGTACAATACCAACGAAAAATGCACGATCTATACAGATATTAGTGAAATAGTTATACCGAGCCAAGACTGAGGAATTCCGTCCAATCAAGACATGCTCGGCCGTTTCCGTAAAGTTCCGAGGTAGTCCAAATGGAAGGCAGTTCTTGTTTTCAGTCAATCAGCTGACTATAGTTAATTTTAAATAATCCGATCCTGATTATGCATTTTTAAGGATCGATCATGTTCATTGGCAGATTCGTGTGCAGGGAAAGGGGGTTAATAAAAAACAAAGATTGGGCATCTCCCAAATCCTCCTTGATGTGGTTTGTATGGATCTTTAAACATCATACCGATGATTCTCAAATGACAGAACCCACTGCTTATTTTGTCAATAATAATAATAATAATAATAATAATAATAATAATAATAATAATAATAATTGAAGAATAAGATTAACTATGGTCAAAAATTGAAATAACGAATGCTCGGAAGCGAGTAGAGTTTGTAACACTGTGATGAGATTATTGCTCAAACCCCCTTATCCAGCGTCCCACATATACAGCATCAAATAAAAAAGACATCCTGATTACCGAGTAGTACAATAGCTGAGACAGTCTCTAATCAAGACACAATTCTCCGGCACATACAAAGTCCTGTATGGATTTTGGAAGAGGCAACTCTTTGACACTCGTGAAAATGTTTCTTCCAAGAACCTTTCTGATAGATTTTCTGCAACAGGATTGCAACGGACCACTGACGTTTAGCCAGGACATCGGTTTTGTAACGGAAGTGTACTGTTCATGCGCCACATTTCCGTCTCGTATCCAAAAGGAATCGCAGTTGTATTGAGCAAGAAGGCCGCAAATTTCAAGATGGCCGGCCCTGCTGGCGATTTGGTACAGCGTCTCTGTCACCTGAAGCGGACCAGCAGGGCCAGACGTACGTCCTGGGGTGTCTAAGTCATAGTTAAGCTTAATGAGAACTTTAAGGGTGTCGACGTAATTGTGAGCCGCGATTTCAAAGGCTGGAGATACGCCTTGATGATTTAAGATGTCAGCCCTGGATCCTGCTTCCAAGAGAATTCTCACTATGGCCGTGTGGTTCTTTCTCATTGCAGCGTGTAAAGCGATTTCTCCCTTGCTCTGATTCCTGGTGTTCACGTCACATCCGAGGTCCACGAGTCTTTTGACGGCTTCGCTCCGGTTGTAATTCACCGCCTCCATCAGCGGCGTCTGTCCCCAGTTATTTTCGACGTTGGGCTCGGCACCGCTTTCGATGAGCAGTCGGATCATCTCGCACGCACCCATTCGGGAGGCAAAGTGAAGGGCGGTGTCGCCATGTTGGTTCTGCACGTTTACTTTACATGCAGCCTTTAGCAATTTCTTCACGCTCTGGGTCTTCAGGCTACGCACGGCCTTCATAAGGGCCGTTTTCATGGTAATGTCTTGAATATCTATCTCGGCACCCTTCGAGATGAGAATGTCAAGCATATCCGTGAGCCCGTGCTCTGCCGCATAATGGAGGGCCGGATACCCAAAAGTATCCACCAAATTTAATTCTGCGTTAGCTGCTATGAGTGCGCGAAAGCAATCCATCCGGCGGCCATTGACGGCAAAATGAAGCGGCGTGCGACGTAACGTTGCCGTCTGCTTGTTGACGTCACATCCAGAATCAATCAAATACCGCACCATGTCCCTGTACCCTTTCAACGCGGCCACGTGAAGGGGACATTTTCCTTGGTGGTCCCTTTCACGAAAGTCTCGGAAGAAGTCGTTTAGGTCGAATTTATGGCGTGCAGCTACCTCGATGACGCTGCGCAGGTTGCCGCTTATGACAGCGTCGTAAAACTGAAGGGCTGCCATGACACTCAGTTGTTACTCTCGGCTCCTACCTGCAAAACATAAAAAAACAGATGTATTTCAATTAACTTACTGATGTCACTGTCATCAATCTTAAGCAAAACAAACAAACAGCCAAACAAAATATATTTTGCACTGTATACATTAAGAGAATCATGCTTCCCTCATAAAAATATCATAATTTATGTCTGCTAAAATTGAGTGATGAATGTGCATTTTTGGACTCTACACACACACACACAGGCAACATGTAGGTGAAGAAAAAGCCTATCCAGTCAATATGAAGCTTGCAAGATATTGTGTAATATAACTACAAGCTCTACTGGAATGTCTAACAGAATATTTCAAATATGAGGTGATTAATATTAATCGCCTATATTATGGCGTGTTAAGATGTAATCAGTCATTGTACATGAGCTTTAATGGATCGCTATTTGATGCAGGTAGGAATATAATATAATATGAAAATCATATGACGGAATAGACACTTGGCATATTGGTTAGAAAAGTCTCTAGGGAGCAATCAGTGTAAATTTGACTTTTTTCTACTGTACCCTCCAACTGAAATAAAAGTGACGAACACGTATACACACAGGTAGGATAAGGGAAAAATGCATTTGTCTCGCCGACAAAACAAATGCGGCATGACCAATTTATAAAGTTGTGTGTCATTACTTTCACTTCCAGTCCACTACTCATTTGCCACTCCCTGATTCCGATTGTCATTAGAAAGTAAATGGCACCAAAAACACCAGCTCTACCTAGTTAAAGCATTAATACCTGCAATCGATACTGAAGTTGTTAAAGCATTATGCCATAATCTGTCCAAGTAAATCGAGCCCTGGAGGCCCTGGATTTTCATTTAGACGAATGCAAATATCCTCATTTAACCTTGAATGTATTGGTCTACATGACACGTCAGGGTTGGCAACATTACAGACACCCTTTTCCTCCGTCATCATATACCCTTTACCAGGGCCACGGAGATATTTTTTCATTAGATATTCACAAATTATTTCTCTTGCTAATTCTGTGCACATTTCTGTACAGACGGATTGAATAAGGTCACCCTGGCTGTGTTTAAGGGCTCATTCCCGCTGAAACTACGGAGGCCTATAGTCTCAAAAGGAATGCGCCCTAATACATAGCATACATGTAGGTTATCCAGGGCTATCAAAGACCACAATGGCAGATCAAGAAGTTATAATGAGTTTATAACTTCTTGGGCAGATACACCAGATAACATACGTAAACAATCGGCTTGTGAAGTGTGGATGAGACGAACGTGGCCTTTGGACCACCCTGAGCTTCATAGGACATTGGAAACCCACCTCTCTACTTATCAACGTGCACCTGCCATTTCCAGATACTGATAGCAGTAGTAGAGAGGTGAATTATCAGTGACCTTTGACTCTCAGGGTGTCTTCACAGCGACTCTTGATCTGAGCTTGGACAGGGTCGCATGATACACATTTGTCCAATGTCTGAGGTGTACCCCTGCCTAATCTGATACTGAGATACTGAGATACTGATATGAGGAGGGGGGGGTGTCCCTTTCAGTTTAACTTCAACTTCCTTCTACGGGCTTTTTTTCAGATGTGATAGGTTATTTTGATCAGATTAATGAAGGGAAAGTAAATAAAAATTTCTCATCATCCAGATCCAGAACAAACTGGGAACGCAGGAAACAAATCTGTGTGTGTGTGTGTGTGTGTGTGTGTGTGTGTGTGTGTGTGTGTGCTCGCGCGCGCGAGTGTACGTTGGGGGGGGTATCATTTCAGAAAAAAAAAAGATATAATTAGCGACGGGGAGGCGTTACTTTTAGCCCGTCTCCCCTGCTTCTTGCACTTATGAATAACGTGGCTGAAATAAAATTGTTGAAAAAAGTATGAATTAAGACTGACCATCCAGAAAAGAAATTGACGACAGAGAGAAGGGAGGGAGGGGGTTCCCCTTCCACCTACAGAACTGTAACAAGATACCCGCTTCACGACCAACAAAACATCTTAATCAAGCGACGTAACAATTTCTATACACCATGGTTGATTCAGCAAACGCGAGACGGCGCTCAGACAATCCGAATACATATATTCTATTTACAGATGAAAACGCTCCCTTATGCATGCACATTAACCAATCCTATACGCACCAAACGTGGGAGAGGACGACCTGTTTTATTTTGACACGAATCCGTTCTCGGGATACCTAATCAAGAGGTAAACGGTAAAAACACAGGAATGCCAAGGTTAGGACAAGGTGTAATAATATATCATTTCATAATCGGGAAACAAATATAGAACTGCACCCTGTATTATTGCTCAAGACTGATTCATAGTTTGTCCCGTTTGAACCTTAACACACTTGATAATAAATAATTCCTATTTACATGGGGGGGGGGGGTGAGGAGGAAACACCTGACCTCGCCTAACACGTCTCACAGCCAAGCATGAAATTCACACAAGGTGTTATTTGTCTTATTTAACGTGATAACGGATCCGTATAAGATTTTTTTAGTGGTGTTTGGACTTTGTACTTTGTACTCAATCATAAAGAACACCGGTGTGAAAGGAATGGTAATCCTAGTAACACAAATGAGGCACATGTACACGAGGACCGGTTTTGACAGTGTCCTGATATTGATCCAACCCACCTAACCGCAATGTAAGCGGGGACACCTTTACGTGGAATTGCTGTTTTAAGGTTCGACTCTTGGGACAACATAAACAAGATCATAAGGTGGCAATTTTGACATTTATACAGTTATATGACAGTAAAATATAAGTGGTTTCTTAAATGAATGAATGAATGAATGAAGGATGTATGAAATACGAATGAATGGATTAAATCAAAATTAAGGTAAATTACGAACGGAAAGAAACAATAGTAAGCGTAAATTTAAATTTTGAGTTTGCCAAGGTGGTCTCTTCATCTGTTCATCTGGCAAATGAAGAGAGTTTTTAAATGCTGTATTTCACTGCCATATCTGAAAGCATCATGTTTTTTTAAAGAAACTGCTTTGGCCGGGTAATCATACAAACACCTATTAATCTGAATATAGCTTTGACCGAGATCGGGGCTTCAACAGTGAATCTGTGCCACGACGTATAAGGAAAATATTTCGCGATTTTGATACCTTGTCCTTAGCACAATGTCTGTCCTCAAAATGTCGAGTACAATGCCGAAAGATTCCCTATAATAAAAGGTGAGATAGGTGAGATACAGTGACAATGTATTGTATATTAAGGCATAAGGATAAGAAGGGTGACCGAAATGGAACAGTGGTTACATTCTCTGCATTGTCAGCGGCTGGTTTGACCTGCCGCGTGCTCCGTTTTTTAAATCATATTTATGTCATACTAGCTTGGGGGTATGATCGTTTATTGTCAAATGCAATTCTAGTTTTCAATGCGTTTTTTATTATTATTATTATTTTGCGCTTGAATTTGGCCTTCGCCTATCTCCTTCCTGGTCCTACCGGTTGCATTTTTCGCGTATAAAACGAAGACTGCGGTTTTCCAGAACGAAAATTAATGCGATAGAACTCCTATTTACGTTTACTGTGCCATCAGCACATATCAAAAACATAAATAGGAGTGGTAATGCCGGCTATGTATGTATATTCGTGTTAGTCGCTGTCGTGTGTTAAATCATTATTCTTTCGGTTGCAGATACATGTACATGTAGCCTACCACGGCAACACAAGCAGTATTGTTTGTCTCTACTTCTACTTATGTGCACTGTAAAACATTTCCTTTCTAATGAAAACTATATGCGACTTATTGTGATATCAACCACTACGTAAGTAGCTTAATCCGCGTTAGTTGGATAGCCTTTTGAGTTAACCCCCACCCCAACAAACCTATGTAGTCCGTTGTTTTTAATCTGATCATTTATTTATTTATTCAAACGTATCAAATAATTATACCAGGCCGGTCCTATTCACATGTTTTCTAGTCGTCAACCGGTTTAATGTTTACTATCTATCTGAACGCAACGCTCGCCCAATCCTCATAAACAGTGCCAACAGTACAGCTGACTACATCTAGCCTAGGCCTACTACCGCGCAAACAGGAGCAGTCTGTGGAAAAGGTGACTGAATATAGTGTAAGTGTACTGAATTCATAGAGGTAATAAACAAATACAGATAATTACCGCAAAGCTATTTCTCTATGACGCACTTTAGGTTATTTTGAACCTAACTAGAATCTATTAGTAGGCCTATACCTATCTATCCGATCTACCTATGTTTCAGAATCAATGTCATTTAGCGCTTATGGTGCAGTGTCGCATCTAATATGCGTAGGCCCCTACATACATATACGTCTTCAAAATCGGCCAAAATAAATCTAAGACTGACGTAACTACTTCGCTACGACACAGTAGGCATAACAAACATATATCTACAACAATTAATGTATCTCAATATTTACAAAAGCTTATTTCGACTACCCGCCTAATAATTTAATGGCAGTCCTTCGGGTAGGCCTAGCCTATAGGCTAATATAACGATCTACTGAGCAATATACATGTACAGAATATGTATAACTCTTTTTCCTAAAAAATTGTACGCCTGTATAATAGCTATAGATATGCAGAAATAAATATTTCTGGTTTGTATTAAGGTCGATGCTACTTTCACATTACCAGTATTTATCTAACGTCGCTGTCAATACGAAGCGTCTGCTAGGCTACAACAAGTGCTACATAATGCATAAACAAAAACAATAGAACCTCGACAGACAACTTACCTGAATAGACAAATTCCCGGACACGACCCGATATTGCTATACCCTCCTAAGCACCCAACCTAGCCATTCAACCGAACGTGAAATTAGTGAACTATGTATGAAGATCGGCATTTAAAAACATTGCTATGACCTTGACCTTCCAGCGTTCACGGTCATAAGTACATCTGGGCTCACTTAGACAAGGACGCGGGAGGACAGACGCACATCGCACCAGTAACCTGCTGCACGGGCTAGGATAAACAGAAATTGAATTACAACTCTTGTTTCTACATACGCGCCACATACTGTTTGAAATATTGCAGTTTTTGACTTTTTTAACCAGGTAGAGCCTACATTTCATAGATCAGACAGGTCTTCAAGTGCATGTAGTCTACATGTAGGCCTAGGTCTCCTCCTAGTAGCCTAAATAGCAACAGCACCCACCTGCAAAGCGTTTTGGTATATAGGCCTATGGAGCCTCTCCCATAGGTCATCGAGGCCTTACCAGTACACGACTATAGTTAGTCCGGTTGCTTAGGGCAAAAAAATGGCCAAATCGTGACACGGCGGATAAAAGCACCAAATTTTGCATGTGGGTACCTTTTGACGTACTAAATCAAATTAGAGCCGTAGCCCACGGAAAAAAATTACCGTTTGGCCAAAAAATCCAAAATGGCCGCCAATTTGTAAAATTCTGTATAAATATATACATACCTATGTTGATTTTTATCAAATAAAGTATTTTCTCAATGTTTTCCATATACTTATTACCCATATTATGCATATATGTCAGATAACAAACGAGTGTCCTTGGACTTTTTGAAAATCCAAGATGGCCGCCGTATGGCATAGGAATACTAGAACATGTACAAGGGTTTTCAACTAATGCCAAATAGGAAGATGCATTGCCCACTATCTAATTAATTTTGTTTCTGAGTGCCTTATTACAGAAATAATATATTTTTGGTGAGTAACTAACCTTTATTCTCAGGCATTTCGAGAAAAATCCAAGATGGCCGCCATATCAAAGAACACTATAGTATACACATAGGGCTTCTTCTGCCATGGAGATATAATATTAATTGATAAATTAGGTTTGTTTCTGAGTATTTTCCACATCTTTTTAATCCACATAATATATATGTGATGAGAATGTTATGTGTATCCTTTTTGAAACAAAACAAAATGGCTGCCATTAGCCATAGAAGGTGGGGTTAAGTTAATACCTGCAAGAGATAGGCTTCCATATAAAATGAAGCTAAATTCAGTTGTTTTTCTTTTATTATTATTATTATTATTATTATTATTATTATTATTATTATTATTATTATTGTTATTATTATCCCATGATACATATCTGTTAGGTAATTAATGTCCATATTTGATCATTTTGGGGAAATCCAAGATGGCCTTCTTTTCCCCATAGGAAAACTGGTGCATTGGATTTTATAGGTACTTCTAAAGCAAATCAGGGTCATTATGATATTTTGTCAAAATACTTAAGAGTACACAATTGTTACCCACCAGATAGATATCTCAAAGTCCAAAACGAATGTGGGAAATACCGAGAAACAAAATTCATTTTATATTGAACCCAATGTCTCTCTGGCACTAGTTGACTGTACTATTCCTATTGTGAATTGGAGCAATCTTGCATTTTCTCAAATACGCAAGATGCACACTTGCTACACACCAGATTTATATAGAGGTTAATAAGGATGTCAACGTGTTTGAACATCAAACGGCTTTATTTCATGTTGGAATCAATGTCTGAACTGTTCCATTAATTGACACCTTTGTGCATTTGAATGATATATTCCTATCGCAACTGGCAGCTATCTTGGGTTTTCTCCGAATAGTACTCAAGGATACATACACTTTCTACACACACAGAGTCTTTCGTAAGGATAAATAGGATATGAAAGGGAAAACGTTTAAAAACAATCCAAAGTTAACTACATTTAAATTGTACTCAGTGTATCTCTGGCATTATTTGATTATGTGTATGAATATTCTAATGACAAAAGGCAGACATCTTGAATTTTTTCAGAATACCCAAAGATACACACATGCTACAGACAAGGTATACATCATTGGGGTAATAATAAATGGAAAGAAATACGTAAATTATTTTTAAAACAAACCCATGGTAATGTAATTGTATAATGAACCACATGCAGCAATTAAAACCCACCCATTAGTATTCCTATGTCAAATTGTATCTATCTTGGATTTTCTCAGAATATCCAAGGATGCACACTATTTACCCACCAGATATATATATATATATATATATATATATCATAGGACTAATAAGGATGGGCAAAACTTGATAAGCAAACACAATTTCACCCTGGTAGTAGATGAAAAGCCATGGATGTGCAGTTGTAATTCCAGTAGTATTCCTATGGCCAATGACGGCCATCTTGGATTTTCTCAAAATGATCAAATATGCAAATTTATTACCTGCTAGATATGTATCACAGTGTAATAATAATGTGTAAAACACTGAAAAAATAAACTGATTTTGATAGTGAATTATGTTTTTCCTAGCTGGCATTAGTTCTAACCCTTTGTAATACTAGAAGAATTCCTATGACATATGGCGGCCATCTTGGATTTTCTCAAAATGCCCAAGAATACATTTTAGTAACTCACCACATACATATTTTGTGGGTGAAAGGATGTGGAAAACACTCAGAAACAAACTTAATTTGATAGTGGAAAATTAATTTTTCCAGTTGCCATTAGTTGAATCCCCGTATACTAGAATTCCTGTGGCACATGGCAGCCATCTTGGATTTTCCAAAATGCCCAAGACCACAGTTACTCACCACAAACATATTATGTGGGTAACAAAAATCTGAGAAACAGACTTAATTTGATAGTGGACAACGTATCTTTCTAGCTGGTATTAGTTGTGCACTAGTATTACTATGGCTGTTTCTATGGCATATGACAGCCATCTTGGATTTTTTCAAAAAGTCCAAGGGAACTTGTTTGCTATCTGACATATATGAATAAAATGGGTAATTAGGGTGTGGTAAACTCTGAGAAAATAATTTATTAGATAAAAATAAACATGGGTATGTACATTTTTCTAAAGAATTCCATAAATTGGCGGCCATTTTGGTTTTTTGGCCAAACGGTAAATTGTTTGAGAGGGCTACGGCTCTAATTTGATTTAGAATGTCAAAAGGTAACTACATGCCAAATTTGGTGCTTTTATCCGCCGTGTCACGATTTTTTCCTTAAGCCACCGGACTACACCGGTCATGAAGAGCCTTTTGTACAACGCCCCTGGTAATGGGAGGAAAGTTCTGAGGTTGACAGTTGTATTCAGTAACTTCCCTCGGTCGTCCCTATTATCTGTTGAATTTGATATACATCGTAGTGGAATCTAGAACCTTACTGTATGTACTGACCGTCACAATACTTGTACCATGTAGTTCACCATGGGTGAGATATTGTGGAAGGGGAGGGGTGCCGACAATGCCCTTTTCAAAATTCAAAGTTGCCGTTTATTCAATCCTCATACTCCTAAGATGTGAGAAAAAAAAATACGCACTGAGGCTGTCAGAATCATATTTCATAATATAGATGTGTTATCGAAGGGAGAATGGAGTTGGGGGTAGGGGTGGGGTGGTAGTGGTGGGGGCCTTTTCAAAACATAGAACTGTTAATTTCTGTTCAGCTGGCACTTTCTTGAAAGAAGAGACAAGACTCGCCGAGCACCCTGAAACTCACGGACTTATATTGCTTACATGTACATTTACTACATTATCAAGACGAGAGAGAGAGAGAGAGAGAGAGAGAGACTATGGCATTCAGCCCCATTTCTTGATATCCTCATAATACTATCAGGTGTCATCATTCTTACTGGCTGACAGTGTTATTTGTCATGCTGCCCTGGTTCCTTCATGATGTCGAGAGAAAAAACAGGATGCCAGTGGGTAAAACCTGACAACTTTTCAAACAGTAAAGTGTATGTGCGGGCTGGTTGAATTAATAATTCTTTGTTGAAATAAACATTGGCAAATATTCACTAATAGTTACAGAAACTGAATTTTTAGGGTTTTATGATTTCAGTTAATTTTGCAGTTTGATATCGTAGATATCGTTTCCTAAAGTTAACTGTTTCATGCGCATGGTTAACAGTGCGTTATAGATAAATTTGGAGAGCAACTTTGGTTGACGTAAGCGATGTCACTCCGTTCGTGGCGAATACTATAAATATCACTCATAATGTATACTACCCACGTTTCAGAGTGTCCCAAAGTCAGCTTTTATATGTCTCTACATATCCTGCAAAGCTACTTATTTTACCGAATTCATACCTCAAACGATAACTCTCAAATGAAAGAATCAGATGCCGATAATATTATGTCCTTTGAATTGTACAGGTAGACTTGTCGGCCTAAACGTGTGGTAAGGCATTTAGGA